CTTTTTTTTTCAATTTTATTTTCACTAGTTCCCTTAAAGACGTGGCTTCAAGTTGGTCGAACAGCGATAACTTTGGTTGAAATCTTGGCCAGCTGGGAGTCTTTTCCTCAGTTTTTAAGAAGCTTTACCGAACGGGTTCTTCCCACTGGTACAGAACTCGTCGACGCGAATGGAGGGAGTGTCTGCTTCACAGTTCAGGCAAACAGTTTAAAGGGGCTCACCACTTTGTGGAATATGTACCAGGACGGCACACTCAAGGCACGCCTGTACGACTTCTTGGTGACTGAGAAAGTTAAGCATCTTGCTGAAGCTGAGGAGAATGTTGAACTAACAGTTACAATTGAGGAAGAAGAATACAAGAGAGCCTGCATTGATCTAAATAATGAAGCCAAAGGTAATCAAGCTACATATACTCTGCAGATAAAGCATAAAAATTAGTTCGACAGGATCATTTTCGTGTAAGATATTTAATTATATCGCAAATCAGTTTTCACTTCGTCTTCAAATAAGTGTTTCGACCCTTAACTAACCATGACCCCTACTCTATTCGTTGTGACGAACACCGGACGAAAAAATGAATTTACCTGGGTTGCAAATGTTGAGCAAATATCAGACAAACTTCACTTTTGCCTAATTTTGCTCATTTTTGCTCAGTGGCAAAGATCATCTTTGCATATGGGAATATTTACGACCGCTCTTAAGAAAAAAAAAGGCAAATTCTCAATAAAAATACCTCACCTTACTTCCACAGTGCATCGCTTGTTATCTGACCGCTAACTATATTGAAAAAAACCCATTTTAGCAAGCTCTTTATTTCTAAATTTACTTCCTAAGAGAAGGGCTACTTTTATGTAGTAAACCTAGAAATACCCTATGCGCTAGGATGAAGCAAACAAAGAGCAAAATGTCACATTTACACACCAACACCCTAAGAGCAAGTCAGCATATTTACGTATTTTTTGGCACTATAGCAAGAGTGGTACAAATTCAGATCACTAAATTTGCTACTTATATGTTCACTTGGCAAACCTAAGTAAATCCCTTTTTTTGTGCAAGGGAAGGGCTAACTCTCGAAACGTCAGCTTAAGAAACTCTGAACCTGCAGTTCACATTATCAACTCATTTGATGAAACCAAATTGTCTTGTTTTAGGTCATGCGAAGGTGCCAGAAAGAAAACGTAAACAATCTGATTCAACGCCGAACGAGGATGAAACATTGCCAATAAAAGTGAAAAGACTAGAGAATGATGTCCAACTTCTAAAGGAGAAAGTGGAGAGTCAAGAGGAACAAATGACTAGACTTCCATTTGAGTTTTTGGAGACAAGACTGGCCACGGAAATAATTCCAGCAGAGGAAGGTAACTAAATCATGTAAACATTCAAGTTAAGCTCAATGAAATATATACAGTCGAACCGTTATTAGGCCGTCAACCACAGGGATTGACGGGGTGGCGCTTAATACAGGTTAACCACTAAATACATAGGTATGGATATGATAAAAACCGAGGAAAAAACACTATTTTATGCCATAACTGACAAATTGTTGTGAAAAAACTTGCTCAAAAGTACTATTAACATTGATTCTGGGAGATTAACATGGACTGAATTTTACTTGAAAGATTGTTCTTGGTTAGTGGAGGACTTTCTGGGGGAAATCACATGGTTTTCATGGGGGATCAGTCGTTACCAACAGAATATAAAAGGGGGGGGACTGTAGAAAATTATCTGCCATTTTACTACCACCAAGGAGAGGGGGGTCATAAGAATATAACAAAGCTTTGGGGGGGGGTAATAACTGAATTGAAACAGATAAGGCCTTTCGAGATTTCGTTCCTTACATGCTCGCAAACATCCATATTTTATTTACTTTCCTTACAAAGGCTGTTGAGAGAAAAAAAACATTCTAGCCTTTTAATATATCAAATCAGATATGTACATGTGCGCGGATAATTTGATGATTAAAGAGATAAAAGCGAGAGTAGATTATATCAAGAGATTATGAATAGCTTGTATCCTCTTGATTAAACCTCGACCGCATGCAGAAAGCTTGCAAGGAGTTTAGTTTATTTCTTTAAGTCTTTCCATCTTCAACCTGCGCCCACTGTAAACTGTTAGATATCCAGAAAGCTTATCAACACATAATTGCATTCATACTCTAAAATGACGTTTTCAGTAGGCAAAACATTTTGTTCCTTTATGTCTCTTTAGTTCGGAATGTCAGTTACGAAAGGCTCGGAGACAAGCCATGGGGTTATGACGAATACAAACGGAATTTCACTAAAATGTACGTGGAAAGTATAAAGTTTGAGACGAAAAGTCTAATATCTGAAGCATCTGACAGCGGTATGGGAACTGAAGGAGCACCATCTGAATTTGACGTGGATATCGGTGGTCAGTATCGAAAAGTCAAAATTACCATACTTACTTTCTGTAATAATAATAATGACAGTAATAATAACTTTTTTTAAACACGATAAGTATTTAAAGCCAGAGGCTTCTGGGATCGTGTTACAACAATAAAACGTAAAAATATTAATAAATAATAACATATAAATTTATCTAAAAAAATAAAAAATATATACAACTTCTTTTAAATAATAAAGCAATATTAATCTCAGACACTACTAAGCAGTCACTCCGGATCCAACAAAACCAATAGTTTATTGATTTCTATTGATATTCATCGAATTCAGAAAGACTGTTTAACAGTGTCGGATGGTGAAGATGGTTTAGTCAAATCAATCCCAATACGATATTTAAAATGTCATATTAAGATTGAAGCAACCATATCTCAAGAATGCATATACATATCATCATATTTTGGTTTACATCGATCAGTTAAAGGATCAAAATTAAAATATTAGAAATCACGTGACTAAGTTAAAAGTTTACAGGAATGCTTTAAACTCTTGGAATCTACTTAAAAATCTATCATTCTGTTCCATGATATCGAACCCCTGATTTTGTTTAGTTTTTTATCTTGTTGTAATGATGGCAAAAAACCGTTATCATTCTTCTTGAAATGTAAGAAGCCGTGTTATGCATAGAAGGTGAAACTTATTTTTTTCGAATGTTGCATAATCCAAGTCTAGAACAAAAAAGGTTATCTTTCAAATCGGCACTCTTAATACCCACTTAATCAACGAACGCTTTTCATTCAACATATTTGTTTGCATATAAACACGCACACAAGCCACAATTCCTCCATTCGCTTTGACGAAGGGCTAACACTCGAAACGTCAGCTTTGAAACCCTTAACGATGTCCAATTTACGTTAAACTTATTAACTCAGTTGATAATACCAAATTATCTTTTTAAGTACTATTGTTGTTGTTATTATTATCATTATTATTATTATTATTATTATTATTATTATTATCATTATTATGCCGAAAAGAGCCGCTAAATTTACGAAGCGAGCAAGTACCCTAATTATTTAACAGAATAATTGAACGGAGGTACGGTGGATCGGCGGAAGGGCGGAATATCTTAAGACACGGAATGACAGAATATCCTAAAACACGGAATACCGTTTAGTATGAAAAAAATGTCTCAAAAAATGGAATTGCAATAAAATAAGAAAACTAAAAGAAATGTACATAATATCTTTGGGGCCCGGAGGGTGAGGAAACCATGAACATTTCGAGTTAGCCCCTGCAAAACTATTCTGCTCTAAAAATTGTGTTATATCAGAAGCCACATGCAATCTTTGACTGTCTTTTTTTAGATAATGAGTATAAACGTTCTTATTATTACAAAATACCGAAAGATATGTCTATCTTGCTGTGAAATTTTTCTTTCATTTATTTTCTTTTTCAGATAAACGTGACCCTCAGACGGTAAAAGGCGACAGTTGGAACTCACTGTCTTCAGCTGTGCAGACTGGCAAATTTGTCATCATCGAGGATATGTTGTCACATGGCCTGGATATCAACACAAAAAATAATGATGGTATAACGGCTTTAATTTTAGCTGCTTTTACTGGCGAAAGAGGTGCCATAAATTACCTCTTAGACAAGGGAGCAGATCCATTTATTGTAAGCCACTCTGGCATAAATCCACTTCACGCCGCTTCAGGGTGTGGTCATGTCGCAATCATCGAGACACTAATGTCACGTAGCCTAGATGTCAATTCCAAAGACAATAGAGGCAAAACCCCATTGATGTGGGCTGCAGCTTTTGGCAAGATTAAAGCTGTAAATTATCTTTTACACAAAGGAGCCGATCCCTATATTAGAGACCAGTCAGAAAGAAATTCACTGCACTCTGCTTCACAGGGTGGTAATGTCGCAATCATCGAGACACTAATGTCACGTGGTCTAGATGTCAATTCAAAAGATAATAACGGCAGAACCCCATTGATGTTGGCTGCAGCGTCTGGCAAGATTGAAGCTGTAAATCATCTTTTAGACAAAGGAGCCGATCCCTATATTAGAGACCAGTCAGGAAGAAATTTACTGAACGCTGCTTCAGAGGGTGGTAATGTCGCAATCATCGAGACACTAATGTCACGTTGTCTAGATGTCAATTCAAAAGATAATAACGGCAGTACCCCATTGATGTTGGCTGCAGCTTATGGCAAGATTGAGGCTGTAAATTATCTTTTAGAGAAAGGAGCCGATCTCGATATTAGAGACCAGTCAGGAAGAAATTCCCTGTACGCTGCTTCACAGGGTGGTAATGTCGTAATCATGGAGACACTAATTTCACATGGTCTAGGTGTCAATTCAAAAGATAATGACGGCAGTACCCCATTGATGTTGACTGCAGCGCTTGGCGAGATTGAAGCTGTAAATTATCTTTTAGACAAAGGGGCCGATCCCTATATTAGAGACCAGTCAGAAAGAAATTCACTGCACTCTGCTTCACAGGGTGGTAATGTCGCAATCATCGAGACACTAATGTCACGTGGTCTAGATGTCAATTCAAAAGATAATAACGGCAGAACCCCATTGATGTTGGCTGCGGCGTCTGGCAAGATTGAAGCTGTAAATTATCTTTTAGACAAAGAAGCCGATCCCTATATTAGAGACCAGTCAGGAAGAAATTTATTGAACGCTGCTTCAGAGGGTGGTAATGTCGCAATCATCGAGACACTAATGGTACATGGTCTAGATGTCAATTCAAAAGATAATGACGGCAGTACCCCATTGATGTTGGCTGCAGCTTATGGCAAGATTGAAGCTGTAAATTATCTTTTAGACAAAGGAGCCGATCTCGATATTAGAGACCAGTCAGGAAGAAATTCACTGTACGCTGCTTCAGAGGGTGGTAATGTCGCAATCATCGAGACACTCATGTCACGTGGTCTAGATGTCAATTCAAAAGATAATGACGGCAGTACCCCATTGATGTTGGCTGCAGCGCTTGGCGAGATTGAAGCTGTAAATTATCTTTTAGACAAAGGGGCCGATCCCTATATTAGAGACCAGTCAGGAAGAAATTTTCTGCACGCTGCTTCTGAGGGTGGTTATGTCGCAATCATCAAGACATTCATGTCACGTGGTCTAAATGTCAATTCAAAAGATAATAACGGCAGAACCCCATTGATGTTGGCTGCAGCGTCTGGCAAGATTGAAGCTGTAAATTATCTTTTACACAAAGGAGCCGATCCCTATATTAGAGACCAGTCAGGAAGAAATTCACTGTACGCTGCTTCACAGGGTAGTAATGTCGCAATCATCGAGACACTAATGTCACGTGGTCTAGATGTCAATTCAAAAGATAATGACGGCAGTACCCCATTGATGTTGGCTGCAACGTCTGGCAAGATTGAAGCTGTAAATTATCTTTTAGACAAAGGAGCCGATCCCTATGTTAGAGACCAGTTAGGAAGAAATTCACTGCGCACTGCTTCAGAAGGTGGTAATGTCGCAATCATCGAGACACTAATGTCACGTGGTCTAGATGTCAATTCAAAAGATAGTGGAGGACGTACCCCATTGATGTTGGCTGCAGCTTGTGGCAAGATTGAAGCTGTAAATTATCTTTTACACAAAGGAGCCGATCTCGATATTAGAGACCAGTCAGGAAGAAATTCACTGTACGCTGCTTCACAGGGTGGTAATGTCGCAATCATCGAGACACTAATGTCACGTGGTCTAGATGTCAATTCAAAAGATAATGACGGCAGTACCCCATTGATGTTGGCTGCAGCGTCTGGCAAGATTGAAGCTGTAAATTATCTTTTAGACAAAGGAGCCGATCCCTATGTTAGAGACCAGTTAGGAAGAAATTCACTGCGCACTGCTTCAGAAGGTGGTAATGTCGCAATCATCGAGACACTAATGTCACGTGGTCTAGATGTCAATTCAAAAGATAGTGGAGGACGTACCCCATTGATGTTGGCTGCAGCTTGTGGCAAGATTGAAGCTGTAAATTATCTTTTAGAGAAAGGAGCCGATCTCGATATTAGAGACCAGTCAGGAAGAAATTCACTGTACGCTGCTTCACAGGGTGGTAATGTCGCAATCATCGAGACACTAATGTCACGTGGTCTAGATGTCAATTCAAAAGATAATGACGGCAGAACCCCATTGATGTTGGCTGCAGCTTATGGCAAGATTGAAGCTGTAAATTATCTTTTAGAGAAAGGAGCCGATCTCGATATTAGAGACCAGTCAGGAAGAAATTCACTGTACGCTGCTCCACAGGGTGGTAATGTCGCAATCATCGAGACACTAATATCACGTGGTATAGATGTCAATTCAAAAGATAATGACGGCATTACCCCAGTGATGTTGGCTGCAGCGCTTGGCGAGATTGAAGCTGTAAATTATCTTTTAGACAAAGGAGCCGATCTCGATATTAGAGACCAGTCAGGAAGAAATTTACTGCACGCTGCTTCAGAGAGTGGTAATGTCGCAATCATCGAGAAACTAATGTCACGTGGTCTAGATGTCAATTCAAAAGATAATAACGGCAGAACCCCATTGATGCTGGCTACAGCGTTTGGCAAGATTGAAGCTGTAAATTATCTTTTAGACAAAGGAGCCGATCCGAAGAAATTTACTGTACGCCGCTTCAACGGGCGGTAATGTCGCCATCATCACAAAAATGCTGTCACTTGGTTTGGATGTTAATTCAAAAGATATTAGAGGTCACACACCGTATAAAATCGCAAAAAAAATTCGGCAAAACTGAGGCCGTAACCTTCCTACTTAGCAAGGGAGGACATTAGTTTTTATTTCTTACCGCTCCTTTTAAAGACTACCGCTTGTCACCGCACGAGTGTTACCGGGATGCATGCTCACGAACTATGAATTTTGAAGTAACTGTCACTTTTATTCACATAATATTGACTGTTTTACAACATTCTCTGCGAGAGATTTTTGTCGATTAGGCAAAGATACAAAGCTTTCCTGGCGGAAAGTATGTTCGTCATTGAACAAGCGCTCAGTCAAGATTACTTGGCGAACTATTGGCGTTTTTTTGTTTTCCTTTTTTTCGCTTTTAATTCGACTTGTATGATCTCGAGTGGCAATATTGAGCACAGTACTGGTGAACTACTTGTTTATTATACGGCCAGAAACGTTTTTTTTTTTTTTCGGAGAACAAATAATAACGCGAAGTCAGAAGAGTTGATTGATAAAATATAACCGTGAACATAATGAATATTGGGGTGTTTATGGACTGAAACGTCGTTCAGGTCCATAGTCGCGAAAAGAAACGATTGATAAATTTTACAATATTGAGTAAGACTGGATAATAATTAATTCATAATACCGCGAGAGAAGGAACAAATCTAGGAAGACCCATCGATTCCCTCTTTGATTGTATAAAATAGATCACCTGCACGCGATGTTATCACAAATTTAACGTAGCTTTACACCCTAACATCAGTATTCATATTCTCCATACTGTTCTCTATACATTTCCTGAGGTGCTGACAAGGAGAATTAGCTGAACGATCAAGAGCTTCTGTAGTTGTTGATCATTTCCGTTATTCTCATGACTTTAGTATGTGATTCAAGGGTGATATTGTAAGGAGAAATTAGATGCTGGTCACTCTAATGGGGTTAAAGGGTCAAGTTCAGATTTTTCGCCCATCAGGCTTCTGTCATCGAGTTGTAGTTTATTTCATTCAATCATATATGAACTCAAATGTAGAGCTTTAACCCTTTCACTCCCAAGATCTCATCAGTAATTCTCCTTACTGTCTGTCATACAACTCTTTTGGTGTTAATTTAGAGAATTTGGTATTGGATCAATCAATATTTCCCTTGTTGATATTTTTCTTTATTCTCATCACTTGTCTGCTTGATATTGTATTAATGCTGTAAGGAGAAATTCTGTCTTGGTTACTTATGGGAGTTAGAGGGTTAAAGATGTCCCATCGAGGAATCAAGAGCTCTTTCAAAAACCCTTTAACCTGGTACTCTGGAAATTTGTATCATAGTTGTTTTATGATTTTTAATAAGATGCGTATTATAAGATAAGAACTGTAGTACACAGTTATTTGTTATCACCAAACTCAATGTAGAATAGTGTGTTTGGATGTTTTAACATTCCCATATAATTCAGTTATATACTCGTTATGCATTTCTAAAATTAAGCCTAAAGTATCAGTATTTCTAAGAGATATGCAGATGATGTGGCATTCTTTTCTTATATTCCAAAGTGGAACTTGTGTTAAGTTTTAGACTAACAGGCCATTACGTCAGTCATTAAGGCTATTATATCATTGGAACTATATATATACTCTATATATTTTTATCGTTATACATTGTTGGAACTTTGGAGTGACATTAACCATATGCTTTGATCATCCAGATGGAAGTAGTCCAAAATCTTGACAGTGACAATGGCTTTGGTTTCAAAGACATGAAAAGAAGTTATCATCACAATCAAATGAGAAATTTTAAGTTCAATTCTGGTCCTTGAAAAGTGACAACTGTTATTTGGATGATCACACAACATGACTGAATGTTCTCCTTGGTTAGATGTTTTTTTAGCGTGTTTTTTTAGTGTTGTCTCATGATACAGCTGGAGACTCTTCAGTTATGAGACACTGTTTTATTTTGCAATGAATTGGTAACTTTGAAAATGTAGTAGATTAAAAACAGAACATTTAAATTGATTTTTATTTCAGTAAATAACTTAGTAAATGGCCTAGTTCGATAAATGTTAGAGGTAAAAACTGCATCTGCTACCTTACTTTTCGTCCGAGCCCTTT